TGTGTGTGTGTGTGTGTGTGTGTGTGTGTGTGTGTGAGAGTGTGTGTGTGTGTGTGTGTGTGTGTGAGTGAGGTTATTACAGGACGAACAGTGAGAGCTGTTGAGCTCGTATTAGCATATTCATGAGACAGTGACACACTCCATTGTGATTTGCTGCCTGCGGCGATGTGGAGGACATTAAACAAGAATCAGTCAAGAGCTTACATACACTCACTCACTCACTCACACAGACACACACACACACACACACAGACACAGTCAATGAAGGAGCGTCAGGCGAGCTCGTGTTTGTACCTGCATGATGATGAGTAGGTCAAAGACCAGGATGAAGGAGGCCAGGAACGCTCTGGAGACCTCGTCGCTCGGCAAGAAGCCGCGGTTCAGGTTATCCCACCTGATCCAGTCCGTACTGATGACCAGAACCACCACAGAGGTCAGAGAGAACAGCACCGTCCTGACAAACACACACAGCAGCACTCACTCACTACCAGCTCATAGAGACCTCATCAATGAGTCTGAGAGTCTGTTTTTTTTTTAAAATAAATATATTTTTAAAAAAAAGTTAAAACAAACTAATAAATACAACGATGTGAGATGGGATGGTTGAAAAGTAAAAAAAAAAAAAGTAAATACAAAAACAAATACAATATAATAATTAAAGCTGCAAGCAGCGATGAAAGGGCCCTCGCACCCGGGCAAACGGAGCAATTCCAATAGGGTCCTCACACCATCGGTGCTCGGGCCCTAATAATATAATATAATATAATATAATATAACATTTATGTATTATATTTATATATCATGGTAATATTAAAATTGTATTAACAATAAAATAAACTTTAATACATTTAAAATTAACTAAAATTATATTAATAATGTATATTAATATATGAATGTGAACCACTGACAATACAAAAAACACTTTAATGAGTTTTGAATTATTGTTTGTTTGTTTATGTCTTACTTCATTTGCAGATTTTTTTTTTAATTAAGAGTCTTTTTTTTGTACTTGTTTTTTTTTTATAAAAAAAAAATTGTTTACAGTTAAAATGGCAATCAACAATCAAACTGTTATAAAATATATATTAAATATGCATTTTTGAAAATTATTTCATATTAAAAATTGCGACAGTCATCTTCCACTAAATTTAATTTTGATTTTGACTAATTAAAGATATGATATTAATACAATATGAATGTGAACGACAAAAATGATATTTTAATGTCTTACTGCGCTGGGAGATTTTTCCACGTGTTTTTAATTCGTTTATTCTTCACAATAATTCTCCAAAGTTCACTACATCTGTTTATTTGAAAACTTTCTTTAATAATATTACTCATTTCATAATGCTGCCCTTGTGAATGATTCATCAGTGCAATGTTTTTCTAAAGAAAATTAATTTTCATTTACAGTTAAAATTACAACTTGTAAATTAAATCATATTAATTATTAAAAATGCATATTAAAATATAGTTAATATGCATTTTTTTAAATAATGCATATTAAAAATTGCAATATTCATTTACCACAAAAATTTTAATGATTCATCAGTGCAATGTTTTTGTAAAGAAAATTAATTTTCATTTACATTTAAAATTACAACTTGTAAATTAAATCATATTAATTATTAAAAATGCATATTAAAATATAGTTAATATGCATTTTTTAAATAATGCATATTAAAAATTGCAATATTCATTTACCACAAAAATGTATTGCAAATTAAACATTACATTAATAATAAAACAAATATACTATATTAATAATTTATATTTAATATAATATGAATGCAAACTACTGGAACTGCAAAAAAAAAGAGTTTTGAATGAGTATTTTTGTCTCTGTTTTAGCTCTTAATATCTCACACACTCTTGCTTCTAAAGTACATTAATCTTGTTTCATGGATTTATATATATTATAATACTGAAGAAATGCAGATATAGTGAGAATGAACGAAGTAAGCTTTAGTAAAGGCTGTGATGTGCATCGGGGTCAGAGGTCGCGTTGTCGAGTGTGTTTTCAGGGTCAAAGTGTGTGTTCGGTCACGTACAAACGCAGCGGCGCTGATCGATTTTCTGCTGCGCGAGTCTTTAATTAAACGTGCTGATAATGGAAACAAGCATTAAAATAACATTATTAACTCACACACAGTTTAACGGCGTTTGTTATTCCCATATTAAGGATATTTTCAGAGGATTTAACCCATAATGACAGCAAACACACACTCAAATCTCATTCCTAATGTAAGATAATCATGTTTACATTGACCAGAGGCTTTAAAAGCACACATTATTCGTCAAAACCTCGTCTCGAAATCCTCCTTTTATGAGCAGGGCTGCTGTTTTGGGTGCATAAACCTGCATTGAACTCGCTTTAATAATATTATTTATTTATCATATATCTTAATCATGTGCTTATTGTGAAAGATTCATCGAAAGGAAACAAATGTTTTTGTTCACCGTTCAAATTAAACACTGTAAATAATACTGTAAATAATTAACAAACTGCATATTAAATATTAAAATATAATTAGAATTATTAAAATTCACAAGGAATTACAGTAATTATAATGATAAAATATTCATAAATAATACATGAAAATATATTATTAATTATAATTATATTACTGTTAAACTTATTAACAAATAATTAAAAACTAAAATGATTCAATATTAAAATATATATTTAAAGTAACTGCATATTAAAAACAGCAAGCCATTTACTACTACATTTAGTTTCGATTATGACCAATTAACATTATATTAATAATTATAATATTATTACATTATAATTATAAAATAGAATCAATATGTTAATAAATACATAAAGTATTATTTATAAAAAATATTATTATTACATATTAATAATTATTATAATAAAAAATATTTTAATAATAATTCTAATTTAATGTGACTACTAAAACTGCAAAAATGGCATTGTAATGTGTTTGTGTAATTTTTTCATTAAACTTATTTATGATTCAAAATCTGCTAGTATATTTGTTTATTTTAAAACTTTATTTAATCATTTAAATTATTTCTTTATAATGTCGTTATTGTGTATGATTCATCGGTGCACGTTTTTCTTAAGAAAATAAATTTTTGCTTACAACTAAAACTACATCTTGTAAATTAAATCAAATTATTATAAATTGCATATTAAATATTAAGCTATATTTAATATAAATTAAAAAATAATAATAATTGCATACTAAAAATTGCAATAGCCATTTACCACTAAGGGCTAAAGATTTACTAAACAGGGCAAATTAGCTCGAGAGCGCAATTCCAAAACAGCGCCGATGGGACTGACAACGTGCAAATTAAAGAACACAGACGCGATTAACATCTCATTTGCATATCGACCAACGCAATATACCAAGCACAGCGCAAATTAGCGTAGTCGCAAATAAGCAGAGCCGATGCTCATCAGGGGCCTCATTTATAACCGTTGCGTACGCACAAAAAGAGCCCTGAAAGAGGTGTACGCTACTTCCGCCGCGAAATTTGGGATTTATAAAAACAAACTTGACGGGAAAATTTGCGCACCTGCACGCAAACTCTGACCCATGCGTACGAACTCTTTTTCCTGGAGTGAGAAAATTAATGAAGTAAAAACAACGATTTTAAGCTCTGTTTATATACATTTACGTTAAATATTCCACTCTCATATGGAGATAAGGACAGAAATTATATAAAGTCATTACGCAGAACTTAAACCAAAATTATATGAATTTAGACATCTTTGTAGTAAATGCGCTCGATCACTTTTCCTCTTTTATTGACAGTGAGGAGTGCTATAGGTGCACAATAATTCATCTTTAAACTGAAGTGCAGATCTCATCTTATGAGAAAATAGTTTTTAGCGAGAACAATGATCAATGACGTGCACTTACGTCGATATTATGGCGGACACTGCTGGATTCAGTGGTCGAAGCGCAGGTTCTGGCGTACTTTTGTGCGTACGCAAAATCTAGTTTTTCAGCGTACGTACACTTTTAGGATGAAATCTATTCTACGGAGAGTTTTATAAATGAGACCCCTGGTGCGGGTGATCTACTTACGACGCAGGTGCAAAATAGTTTAAGATGTGCTTTTTTGGGCGTTAAATAATGGCGCAAATACCAGTAATTTGACGAGCGCGATTGTTAGTAAATCACATTGCGTGATTTATTTTAATTCTCTCCTCCCATAACTTTTGCGTCTGAAAGGGAAACTCTTACAAATGCATATTCAATAAGGTCAGGCGCAAAAATAACTGTCCACGCCTAATTCTTCAGTACTATTTTAACGCCAAATGACCGTTTGTGCTGGCACAAGCTGTTAGTAAATCTTTTGATTGAGACACATGAAACCTATTTTATTAATCACCGATTCCATACACGCCGTTTAATTTTCCCTTCTGAGGCTGGAGCGGATACAGCTTCAGTCTCGATTCTGATTGGTTGTTTCTGACGGGATCACATCATCATCTCACCAGAACAAAACAATGCGGTTGTGCCCCCGTCTCCACAAGTTTCTGGCGCTCCGGCCCCAGTCCGGATAATGAGTGTCCTGCAGCATCATGTCTGTTACCTTGGAAACAAACAAACAAACAAAAACAAACAAACAAACACTCCTTATTGACTTTCACAGCGACTGAGCTCAGAGTCATAAAAGAGTCAAATAAAGAAAAGCTATTCAATATCCACAATGTTTTCAATGTAATAAAGTTCAGCATATCTATTTTTTTTTGTTGTATCTATCTATATTGATAAAACAAAAAAGTGCTAATTTAAAAAATAATTAAAATGTGAAAGTAGTGAAAATGGAAAATATAAAATTAAATCTATTTAAGAATGTTAACAAAAAAAATCTAAAATTCTAATTCTAAGTTTCTCAGTGACATTAAAGTAACACTGGACTGTCATAAATATTCTAAATATATTTATGTATGTATGCGTGTTCAGTATATCTGTTTTTTTATTTTCTTCAACATTAATTATTAATAACATTGTGAATGATTCATCAGTGCACGTTATTCTAAAGAAAATTGTTTTGTGTTTAGTTAAAATACACAACGTAAATGAAATCAAATCAGTGTTATTTTAGTGTCACTGAGATAGTGTTTTGTATTCATATTTTGAACTGGTTTTGGTTTTTATTTTTATATTTTCTGCATTTTAATTTTGCTTTGTGTATGTGTGTGTGTTTTTAAATATAGTTTTTATTGCAGTTTTAGTTCATCTTGCTGATGTAAAAAAATTATCTTTTTTTTTGCATTTCACGTTCATGTCAAATGGATAACAATTTCATGCAAAATATTTAAATATATTTAATATATTAAAAACTGCAATAGTCATTTACCACTAAACTGAGTTTAGCTTATGACAAATTAAACATTTTACTAATAATAACATAAAACATATTATGTTCCTTTACATTAATATAAATGTATAAACAAATAAATTCATAAAGATTATTTAAAATATGTATGACATCAAGGTATATTTATTTGCATGATGGTTTGTCAGGTGCACTAGAGTTGTGCCCTATGGAGTGTGCACACTGCGCAGGGACCCGTCTAAGGTCACCCTGATGACGATCTGATCCTCACTTTGATGTCAGATGTTTGTTTGCTGTGTGTCCTTCTGTGAACTTGGGAAAACCTCTTTTCAGAGTCGATGAGCGCTGTATCCACACGACTGTCAACATCTATAACGCTGTTTAGAAACAGACAGTGAAGATACGCTGAAGTAAACACAGTGTGTCAATCAGTTTGAGTGGCACCTGTCAGTTTGACCGCTGCTCTTGTGAAGAGATCTTTAAATAATTCCACTTTTAATGAAGCATTAAAAGCCAACATGGGATCAAAAGAAGCTATTTAAAATTAATATTTATAATATATTTATATATGAATATTTATAAATATAAATGTATAAACAAATAAATTCATAAAGATTATTTAAAATATGTATGACATCAAGGTATATTTATTTGCATGATGGTTTGTCAGGTGCACTAGAGTTGTGCCCTATGGAGTGTGCACACTGCGCAGTACCCGTCTAAGGTCACCCTGATGACGATCTGATCCTTCACAGGAGAAAGACTGAAAGCCGTGAGGAGGGAAGGAGAAAGTGAAATAAATCTGTGCAGATGAAGGACTGAATTAATGGCATGCAGAAGCCGTCTCGATTCAGCACTTTTAGACGCTCCTTCGCCCTTCCTCTCACTCTTCATCCCTCGCTTTTCTCCTCCTCTCCTCTCTTTTGTTCATCCGGTCATATATTAATATGCGGTCTGAATACCAGGAATACTAATGCACCGAACACACACACACACACACACACACACATACACACACACACACACACA